ACTGACTTTCGTGGCATAATTATAAAATATACAGCCCAATCGTCAAAATGTGGGAGAAATTCTATTCCTACGGAAAGTATTTCTCTCGAGAGAAAAATCCTCCAATCGTAGAAAATATAGGATTACAATTTTTGGAATATGGCATTTTTTTAATCAACTGTGGTTCTTTTTCATACTTTATTTACCCTTATTTGTTTGAGCTAATTTAAAGTTTTTGTGTTATACGAAATAGTTAAAAAGAAATAATGAATTGAAACCAAAAAAAAAATGAATAGTATTATACTTAGAGTATAATTAGAGGATGATGCTACTTCCAGATAGCAACAAAGAACTTCTACAAGATTGTCAAGAAGACAATTGCGAGATATTTTCAATCCTCTTGAATTGCCACAATTATTGTAAGTGCATAAAAGTTAAAAATAATTGAAACATCTGATATGTATTTTTGAACAGATTCAAAAAATACTATCGAGTAAGCAAACCAGCATTCCAATACTTGTTGGAAGTTTTGCGCAACATACTCCCACAAGGAAATACAAGTCTGGAATTCCAACGATTACTAAGTTGAGTGCCGCGTTACGTTATTTTGCTGAAGGTGGATATAAACTGGCGTTTTTTGGTCAGCCCATTTTTTTTGGTCAGCCCAAACTATTTTAAGTAATTTTGAGGAATGAATGGATTATTTTATTCAAATGAATGTGATAAATTTAGGTTTTTTTCCATTCGGCGATGCCGTTTTTTTTTCCAAAACCGAGTAAGATACTCTTTGCTCCCTTTATAGATTCCACGTGAAATGTCAGGATGTAATTCCAAAACTGACACTAAATGCTGCAATTGGGTTTTATTTGTCTTCGACCTACAGATAATTCATTTATTTATTTCTATTTCGATTTATATTTGAAAAACCATACTTATATTTATATCTCACTTCGATTTTGTTTTTTTGGGATATTTTGAGAGGAAAAACACAAATGGAACTTTCTTATGGTGCCTACTTTTTCTCCTTTCTCCCTTTAATTCCGCGCGGAATTGTCTTTACGATTGGGAAAAATGGAGAATAAAGAAATTCCGCACAGAATTATTTTTGACGATTGGGCTGTTTGTCTCTTTCAGATGATTTTCTTTTGAGAGAAAGCCGAAAATACGTATTTGTGAAGATAGAAATATTATAAATATCAATTTCTAATAAAAATTTTAATTAAAATTTTTTTTTTTTTTTTTGAATTCGTGGTAACATTTTTTTTATTTTTTGTAAACAATTGTGAGTGTGTGTATATGTTAACTAATACCAGCTGACACCCATTTGAAATGACATGATGTAATAATAAGGTGATATATCTCAACAAAAGACTTTGTTTTTGTCTCGATCATCTGTCAAATTTTTCCTTATAATATTTCACATGTTTGGCAACATTGCACATCGAATTCAAGTAGTAATTACGCACTTTGACAGTTAATCAAGACATCAGCTGTTCTAAATGGAATACCTATTTATTGTGCCATGCTGTCAAAGATAAATTTATAAAAAAAAATGGAAACATATGACTGCATGAGACTACCTTGGATAATTATGCCATGACCAAGTTAGAAGATGGGACCCATTAATCCAGTCCTTCTGGTACCTCGCCCATAAAATGTCAGAATTTTTAATATTTAGAAATCCAATATCAGGCAAATGGAATATCCGATTTGAACCAAAATTTGTATAACTTATTTTCATTAAATACCTAGAACAAGTAGGAAAATGGGACCCCATCGGTCTACTCCTTCTGGTACCTCCCCCACAAACGGTCAATATTTTCTTACGTAGCTGGCTTGTTACAGAACGGTTGTTCCATAAGCCGAGCTTAAAAAAGATTTACAAGCGCGTCGATCTTGTGCGCAAATCCACCAATTTGGAAGACCACGTTCCAAGATGTTGATTTCTACTTGGTCTTTCCATCTAATTCGTGGTCTACCCATGCCTTTTGAGCTGGGGCATTCTCATTCATTCGCACAACATGGCCTAGCCACCTTAGTCGCTGCAGCTCAATACGACTGACTATGTCGATGTTCGCGTATAAATTGTAAAGCTCGTGGTTCATTCGACGCCGATATTCACCGTCGACGCAGATCGGCCCGTAGATCTTTCGTAGAATTTTTCTTTCAAACACCCCAAAATGCTTCAGATCCATATAATAGCAAGGGTAGTATCAGCGCCTTGTAAAGTGTGAGTTTGGTCTGGCGGGAGGTGGCCTTGTTTCTAAACTGCTTACTTAGAACATAGTAGCATCTGTTGGCCATCACAATACTTCTCTGAATTTCAAAACGGATGTCATTCGTTTTATTTATGGCGGTACTAAGGTATATAAAATCTTTAACTACCTCGAAGCTGTAGTTCTTAAGTTCCACAGTTGGACGTCTTGCGCGTTGAAACCATCAGCTTGGTCTTCTCGCCGTTTACTGCCAAACCCACTTTGGCCGACTCCTTTTCAATTTGTTCAAAGTTGGCTGTTACCGCTCGCAATGTTCGACCCATTATATCGATGACATCAGCGTAACATGTGTTGTTTGGTGCACCGAGTGTAATTTCTGTTCACCTTTGCGTCTCGTATGGTCAATATTTTCAGTATTTAAAAATCAACCAATTCATATTATTAAAGTAATTTTAAAAACAACATGTATCATCAGATTTTTTTTACTTTTCATTTTATTGAGCTAACCGATATGTGCACTGAGCGGCTGAAATGAAAACCGGAAATACGTCTTCGAGAAAATAAAAATATTATAGTACGTTTACATTATACCGGATTTCGATAACCCAGTGGGTTTAAATAGTCAATTCCATTGTACATTTGTCAAATTAATTCTCATAAAGTGAGTTAACCCGGTAAAAAGTTCTAATGTAAATGTACTTTTATAAATTCTAATAAAAAATTGAGTTAAAATCTTATATGATTATTTTAAAATTCGTGATAAAATTTTGTATCTTTTGTAAACAATTGTGAGTGTTTGTGTGTATATACCAGCTGGCACCCATTTGAAATGATCTCAAAGCCAGTGTAAATAACCATGGTATAATAATAAAAGGTAACAGCAAGTGTTGTTGTACAACAATCGAAACAACACGACAGAGGGGTCACAAAGAAATTTTCAGCCCATTGTGTAAAAGCAACAGGGCTGCTACAACAACAACAACAACCACAAAGAAATTTTGATTTTGTAAGTACTACTAGTGTCATCGACACATGAGTAGAAATGTAAACAAAAACAAATAAAAAATATGTATACATACATATTTTGATGTTTAAATTTCAATTCAAATACTTTTTGCAAACGGACAATTCGATTTCAACGAAACCTCATACATCGTATTATCTTTACCAAGCATAGATCAAGTAAGAAGATGTGACCCGTTGGTCCATTCCTTCTGGTACCTCCTCCACAAACGGTCAACATCTTCATCATTTGTAAATCCAACATCAGGAGTATGGAACGTCCGATGTGAACCAAGCGTTGCACAACCCATTTTCTTTACGAAGTCTAGATTATGTCCGAAGATGGGTCCCGTTGATCCACTTCTTCTGATACCTCCTCCACAAATGGTCAACATCTTCAATATTTGTAAATCCAATATCAGGCGATGGGAATGTTCGATTTGAACCAAACTTTGCACTACCAAGCCTAGATCAAGTAGGAAGATGAGACCCATCGGTCCACTATTTCTGAAACCTCCCCCACAAAATGGTCAAAATTGTGCTAAAAATTAATTTTATAATAACATGCAAACGGACTATCCGATTTTAATGAAACTTTGTACAACCTATTATCTTTACCAAGCCTAGATCATGTAGGAAGATGGGACCCATTTGGTCCTCTGCTTCTAGTACCTCCCCCACAAATTGTAAAAATTTTCAATATTTATAAAGGCAAGAAGATGGGACCCGTTGATCCACGTCGTCTGGTACCTCCCCCACAAATGATAAACATTTTAAATCCAATTTCAGGCGAATGGAATGTCTGATTGAACCGAACTATGTACAACCTATTATCTTCACCGATTTCTTTGCAAAAAAAAAATCAAAATTTGTATTTTTATATTATATTTAATTCATTTTTTTTTTGAAAAAACGTTTGACAAAAGCACAATACAATGACAAAATGTCAAATGTTGAATTTGACACTAATAGAACGTACGAACCAAATCATCTGGGACTTGCTGTTACCTTCCATAATTTATTTTCAGGATTTCGTAAATCCACATCATATACAATTTTAGAAACAATCCTCTGTAAATGACCATCGCTGATTGGCAGAAGGCATAAACAGTTTAGATGTTATGAAATTTATAATCTAGCCTTCTTCTCTAAGACCCCAACCAGATCCTAGGCTTTGTCAAAAATCTGACATGGCTAAAATAACCATTTCTCCGCTCTCCTTCTCTCGCTATCTTTTTCCTTGCTCTTCCACTCTCTCTTCCCTTTGCAGGTAAAAAATGATGATCACAAAAGATCATTAGTCTCCGAGCGTTGTTTAAAATAAAAGACGCTGAAATTTATTTTTGTTTGGTAAATGTCGCATTAATCATGCTCACAAATCCAGTGGATTATGTTTGGCGTATACGCTAGAGAATTGGCATTTAATATGGAATGGATTTCGAAAATATATACGCAGTTTTATTATACCATGCGTTCTTCAAATGTACTTTCAGTCATACGCGTCGGCCATAGTCGTACGATAAATTGCACTGTGTGAAACGTCATATTAATTTTTGACATTTCAGAGATTAGTGGCAACACTGTCAGGAACATTTAGTACACATAATTTAGAACCCCAGCTTTTTAAAATAAAATTTAATTCCTTTAGTTTCCTATTTGCACTTTTTTGTTTAGCATTTTTTCATGTAAACTGAGTTTATGAAATTATTTTGTTCCCCATATTACAAACAATTGACAAGTTGCAGAACAACAATAATTATTGAGTATATTTGTAGAATAGGAAGTGTTTTTGGTGTGATAAAATGGCATTTCGTTCGCGTTTACAAAATAATAGTGGTGGTAGTTCAATAGAACAGCTCGAAATTGAAATGTGTTCGCCTTCATCGTCGCCTCCAATACCTGTTTCTCCAGTGTGTACGACTATTTTACCACGAAAATTAAGGTTTGCATCACCTAGTCGAGACGAGGACGACGAAGGAACAAGTGGCAGTGATGATAGTCCGTTTAAGACGAAGTCTGACAACAACAATGAAAGTGACAAAACTCCAACAACAATGTGTATATCGCCACCATACCGCAAAGTACGTGCCTTGAGACTCTTTGACACGCCTGCAACACCGAAAACTATTTTGGAACACTGTGGTCCTGCTAAAAACGGTGAGACTTTTTGTTTCAACTTGTAACAAAATTACAAAGCGAAATTGTTGTTTGCGGGATTGATTTTTTTACCTTTGATTATTGGAAATTTTTACGACAGTCCCAACTTCATTACTTAATAATGTATTTTCGTAAACATAATCCATAAAACCTTTTTGTAAAGGGTTTTGATACCATTATTTAAAAATGAATACAAATAAAAAAATATTTTTGTGTTTTTGTCAGTTTTTATAATATGATATTTGATATTTTATATTATATTTTCAGAACAATCTTCCGCAAAAGCTTTAAATCACTTATCACTGGCTGCAGCTTCAGATATTACCAAACGACAGGAATCACTTTTTCTTAAGACAGCTGAAAGACCACGATCGCTACCATTACACAATCGTGCCTTGGACAATGTTATGCAACAGCAAACAGCTAATGTAAATCCATTTACACCCGATAGTAAGTTGGACAAAAATATACTAACTGTGTATATGATGCTAATACAAATTTGAATTGTCTTCTCTAGGTCTTATGGCCCATAATAAAAAACGCTGCAGAACTCAAATTGGTCGTGAGAATTTAAGTAACCGCTCACTGCAAATGTTTCTAAATAGCGATGAGGATATGAACAATGATAATGAGCAATCATCGGAAATGCATCAAGCTCCCAAAAGACTGGCTTTACAAGATACTAACATCAGCCGATACAAAAAAGAATTTGTTGAATTATCTGTAATTGGAATTGGTGAATTTGGAATGGTTTATCAATGCTTAAATCGTTTAGACGGTTGCATATATGCAATTAAAAAAAGCATTAAGCCTGTTGCTGGCAGTTCATTTGAGTAAGTTGTACAGTTTTATTTACATATACAGAGTGTCAAAAAAAGAATTTTGGCTCCATACAAGTTTGACAAAATTCCAATGTATGTATGTGCCTAAAGCCAGCATATCAAAGAAGTCAAATGAATTATGTATTATGGAATAATTTTGTGTGTATATTCCGATCTTCCAATTTTGCAATATACAGTGCGAAGGACATATTGGTCTTCAAGTTTGGTCAAATAAGTCAAATTCAAATTCGCCGAAAGTGCCACATACGGAGTAGCTTCGGCATTTGATAGGGAACATTCGGCAACTATCAGTCTGTTTGGAATTCAGTTCCTCCAAAGGTTCTATTTTGTTTTGTTTTAATGTGCATGTTAGATGCATATTTTAGGAGTAATTCATTGTGACCATGTCAATGGCATGTAAAAAAAAAATCGAAAATATATTTTACATATTTAGGATGTAATATATTTATTTCATTTTGAGGAGGGTCATAATTTAACATCTGTTCAATATCGCATATTTCTTCTCATTATTCGTAGTTTCTTTGAAATCTTTGAACAGAATATTTCAGAAAAACTAATTTTAAGTGATGATAAGCTCACTGGAACAATTTTTGATGATAAAAATTATGTGCAAAACGTATCATCTATTGGAAGGCATTTAAGAGATAAATCCCGACGGTCAACAGCAATTCCTCCTCTCTTAAAAGTGTGTGCAGCTCTAAGGTCCACAATGTCGGTGGTTTTGACAGAAATTGTCCGGCTAATAGAGGAAAAACTGTGTATAATTTAGATTGTTTCCAAATAAACAGAAGAGGAAAATGGGGAAGAATAATGGGTCGTTATGGAAAGCAACAAAACTCCAGTTATGATTTCAACTGGCAACGCCACTGGAATAAATTGAATAGTGGAATATTTTTTTGAGGATGAAAATGATGTTCAAGGCGTGACATCTATTAGAAGATATTTAAGAGATAAATCCATTAGAACTACCATCAGTTCTTTGAGTAGATGCTTATGTTTAATCAACTGCTCATTTTAGCTTGAAGGTGTATTTTCGGCTACCAAAAGATGCGGTTGTGTACTTAGTTGAAGGCTTAAACCATGCTTTCCGAAAAGCCCGGTGGTCAACAGGAATTCCTCCTCCTCTCTTAAAAGTGTGTGTAGCTCTGAGGTTTTTTTCGGAGGCAATGACTTCAACCTTGGCATGGCTCAACCCACAATGTCGGTGGTGTTCGCCGAAGTTGTCCGGCTGATAGAGGAAAAACTGTGTAAAATTTTAATTGTTTTAAATTAACAGTGGAGGAAAAAGGGAAGAATGCATTTTTTTTCATTCGCTTTGGTTTGACCATAAGTCCGCACGCCGCGTGCTACATTTGGGTGAGCTTCCATCCGGGCAATTAAGACCTCAAATTGTTCTTTTGTAGGCTTAAGTTATTATTGTAAAACAGGACTGAACAGCAAGAGATTAAAAGAAACCTTCTACTGTATAATTTCAAATTTGAGGGTAAGGTTTTTTTTTTTTGGCGAATATGGTTCGATATATACATAACTCCAGGGTTTAAAATGCTAGCGCCAAAATTGCAAAATTTTTGTGATGCTGCATTTTAAACCCTGCATAATTCATAATAATTCTATACATCTTATTATAGGCTTTCTAAATCATGTTCCTCAGATTTTATTCCTTTAGGAGCCATTTTTCGTATGCATGATCGCTCCCTGTCACTATTATTGCTGTTGCTAACCCCGATTTTTCTGATGTTGCTACTGAAGGACTGTCAGGACATTTCTCTATTGGATGTTGTTGTGCGATGCAGATGGAATTTCAGCACTTCCCATCTCGTTGTTGGTCGTTTTTCGCCTTTCACCTTCCTCTGCCAACTTGATTCTTAGCCTATTCAATGTGGGCAACTTATCCCTTGCTTCTTAGTTGGCCGAAAGATCTCGACAAACTTGCTAGAAGCATGATAACGTACAGCTCCTCTTGCAGCTTAACACCCATTTCTGCCAACTTTTCGACTAACGACATAAACTTATCTCTGAATGTCTTCATTTTCGCCCATGCGCATGACCAGTAATTTTTTAAACAGGGTGACTTTTCTGACTGTTCTTTTTGGCCTGTGCAGAATTTCCCATGCTTTAGCCGACGTTTTACAACTTTTGATGTAGGGTATCTGACCCGGGGTGACACTCAAAATTATTGTGGCCAGTGCCTTCTCGTCCTTCTTTAGCCAGATTTGATCCCCGTTTTGGGGTTTCGTGCTACTCTGACTTTACTCGTAAAACACCGGCGAATGCACTTAATAAACTGGGCGAATACTTATTACAAACTGGAAGACTATACCTTATGAACTGACATTACTTTCCATAACTGACAGATGTTTTCTACGTTACGTCTTCTTTCATACGTTTGCATTTTATTCTGATGCATCGATTAACTGTCAATGTGGTTAATTTTACTTGAATTCGATGTGCAAAGTTGCCAACCATGTAAAATATGATAAATAAACATTTTACAGATGATCGTGGTCTAGATCATGATTAATCCAGGGGGAAGAACAAATAGATGCTGCTTGTACTGATTAGGGTTTGGGAACTCCCGACTTTTTTCATTCCAGGGAAATCCGGAATTAAAAATTTTCATTCCCGGGACTTTTCACAACATTTGTAAGTAAAAATATAAAAGGGCAGCAATGATATATTATTAATTAAATAATAAATTATTTTAGTATGTTTTTGGCAAAACATTGTATTGAGAAATATTTGTGCATATTAACATATAGGAGGTGATGCAAATGTGGTATAGCCATTTGTTTTTAGATTGCCAAATTTTTATTTTTTATCCGATTAAATTAAAATTTTTCGCTTAACATGTATCAATTTGAAAATAATATTATTCTAACAATTTAAGAGATATTTGAGAAAATTCCATTATAAGTGCAGGCAATGTGGTATACCACATGATGTTAATGTGATATAGTATAATTTTCACTTCCAATTGATATCATATATAATGTATTGTTTTTAATGAATGCGAATTAGCTCGAGATTTATGTCTGTTAAGATTTTTAACGGATACGTCGAGTGGAACTTTAATTTTTTTATATAGTAATGTCTACACATGGCAATATTTAATTTTTGTATGGAAAAGTTGTTAAAACTCATAACCTTTGTTTTTCATCCTTGTGATTCATGGTAGGCACTCGTAGGGGACAAATGTTTCAAATAGTAATGATATTTTGTCTTGTGCTGTTGTTTTTTTTTTTTTTTTTTGATGCAGACTCAAGGTATACCGCATTACCTGCACTTGTGTTTACTGAATAAACGTATAGTTTTTTCTTAAATTGTGAAATATGTGGTCAATCGCGCATATTATTTGATTTTTAGTACTTACTTATTATTTTAATGCTTTAATAATAAAGATTAAAATACATCTGTAGAACAAAAAAATATTTTTAAACTTCAACCGAAAAAAGTCAATTTTACAAAAAAAAAAAAAAAAAAATAGTTTTTGCTACTGACTCACAACTTGAGTTAAATAAATTAAACAGCTCATTGCTATCTTATTTTTGGAGAACAGCAATCTATAGAACATGTTTCAGTTATTCTAAAATTTTCAGTTTACAAAAAAGTGACTATACCACATTACCAACCTATATCACATTTGCATCACCTCCTCTACATATGAAGAATTTGTTATTTATGCATTCAGCAGGTTGCTTGATATATATACTGTTTCTTATGTTGATGTCAAAATTTTCATCAATTGAATATATTCTCCCACATTTTATGGACTTTTACTCACTTTATACGAAACTTATTTCTTTTGAAAAAAAGACTACTGTGACAAGATTTTGATCTTATAGGGGTTGACTTTGCAACCACAACATTTACATTTGAGTATTTTAATCACTACTAGATGACCAGATTCCACTTGAAAATCTAAATAACTTCCTCATACACCTTTGCAATTTTTTTTTTTTTGCAAATCCGTATTCCCCAAACTATCTGAGCCTTTTAAAACCCCAGTTGAGATATTAAGTTTAAGTCACGGCGGTCACTTATTTCTTTTTGTCACTTATTTTTGTTTGTTGATCTTACAATGTTTTCAAGACAGCATGAATAATAATTTAAATCAGGCATGATTGCAGCAAAGGAACCCATCTATAGGGCATTAAGAATAAATTTTATCATGACATCCGCGTTACCTGAAACAGTTGCTACAATGTGAATTTCAAAAAATTAATTAAATTTCCAATTTTCGAATAAAAACATACCTACTGTTTTGCATAATGTATTTCATTTATTGGCCTAAAGGCTTCGTTATACATGTAAACATTTAAATAAAATAAAAAAATAAAAACAACCGATAATGTTACGATTTTTTAGAATTTCTAAAAAGTATCCGAAAACGTTCCTATTTTAAAATGTTCCTTCAGAGGTTTTTTCCCGAATTTTTGCAGAACATCAAAAGTTCCTTTATATTACACGAGTTTCGTGATAAATTAGTTTAGAATTCGCAAAGAAACTCGAATGTTCCTTCCGATTTTTTTTTTCAGCCAAACTTTCCGAATTCGTGGGCCCTTTAAACAATTTCGGCATCAGAATCGGAAACTTTGTATTCGTTCCGAAACATGGAACAAATTGTTAGTTAGATTTTTACACAAGGTTCTTCATATTTCGCATTTCTATCGTTAAAAAGTTAAAATTATTGACAAATATTATGAAATTAAATTACAATGTCAGAGGTGGTCCGTCCGAATCAGAGAGGAAAATGACATACATTTGTATTTACATCACATATTTGATTTTATAAATTTTCTTAATTTTTATTCCCTTATATAATTTTGGATTGACCTTGCCTCTTTACAGGAAACAAGCACTTAATGAAGTATGGGCCCATGCGGTTTTAGGAAAACACGATAATGTCGTCCGTTATTATTCTGCCTGGGCTGAAGACAATCATATGCTGATACAAAATGAGTATTGTAATGGCGGTAGTTTACAATCTTTACTACAAAAACGTTGTTTAGTAGAATCCGAACTCAGGATACTTCTACTGCATGTGGCCGAGGGATTGCGTTATATACATTCCAATGATTTAGTCCACATGGACTTAAAATCGGGAAATATATTTTTAACTAAAGTTCCTTCGGTACATAAGACAGCAATGCCACCACTTACAAAGGAGTGTTATGAAACCGGCATGGATGGCATTTATGAAGAATTAAGTAACTCGGAATGGTTAATTACGTACAAAATTGGAGACTTGGGACATGTTACATCGGTTAAAGAACCATGTGTGGAGGAAGGTGATTGCCGTTATCTGCCAAAAGAAATACTCGAAGATGATTTTTCGAATTTATTTAAAGCCGACATTTTTGCTCTTGGCTTGACGCTGTACGAGGCTGCTGGTGGTGGTCCATTGCCGAAAAATGGCCCAGAATGGCACGATCTAAGAAATAACAAAGTACCCGATATTCCAACCTTAAGCAGAGAATTTAACGACTTAATAAAAATTATGACACATTCTGATCCAGAGAAAAGGCCATCATCTACGTCGATATTTAATCATTCGTAAGTAGTAACGTATGCAGGTTTTGCCATTGAAAATATAAATTAGGCTATATTCCGCTTCCCAACATTCTCAAATATTTTAACATCTAGGAAACAGATGCAAAACTATGCACTTCAATAATAATTAACTTTTGTTAGTTTGTGATTTCTCAAACTAACAAAAGTGTACGATTATAACAAGCCCATAATTATTATTTGCCTTATAATATTATGATTTGTTTTTATTTATTTATTCTAATAAACGTTTTCCTCCTCACTGCAGCGTTCTGAATTCTCTGGAATCAAAAAGCAAAGCACAACTCAGCCAGGAATTAACAATTGAAAAACGTAAAAATGAAATACTTTTACGCAAGCTGAGAGAAGCACGAAAAACAATCAAGGCATATGAACAAAATGCAAAAAGTAAGACAACGTAGTTTATATTTTTCTCTAGTTGTGTAATGTAGTGTTTTTCTTTGCAGGTCATCAACACTCTCACTTTAATAGTCCCCAAAGGTTAACAGATCAGCGCTGTCTTCGCTCACTTACGCGTAAGAAACACAGCACACCTAGTTTGAACAGCAAATTGGAGAGCCTGCGAGACCGCAATAAAAATGTTATTAACAATTTTAAGTACTAATAATTTGTTACTACTGTCGATTTTTTATATTTATTATATAATGTAATTAATTTAATTTGAATTCTTATTTTCATTTCGTTCATTACAATATGTGAATTTTTGTCAAACAATAGCTTTTACCATGTATGCGTATATATTTTCTCATAAACATAACAAAAATTAGCCTGCCTATTCGTTCAGAATATGAGATTCCTAATTTGTATTAGCTTTTATTAATATATGTGTGCATATGCATTACATAGAAGTTATATGCTCTTTTAATGGCCGATTTCATTAAAATGGGACATATTAACAACAAAAAAGGGAGGTTGTTTCTGTAAATACAAATATTAGTTTCGTAATTACCACTATATATTTATTTTTCGTTTTAGTGATACAAATTGTTCCGCTTATATATATTTCTTTTTTTGTTAAAATAACAAAAAATTGCATTATCTTGTCTTCTCAATTATCCAAATATGACTGTAAAAAAGTATTTGAATTTTAAAGTGTTTTCGAAATTGATATCAAATATTTGTTAAGCTTTTTATAAATAAATAAGATGAAACAAAAAACAAATATTTACGACATTATCTTGTATGTATATGGGAAACAGGCTTAGAATGAAAACTAAGCAACACACAAAACTCGCAAGACTTGACACAATGCATTATTTAACAAATTTGTCGAAAAAAATATGTTGGCGACGCTTCTCATTACAGAGGCATAGATCAAAAGGATCATGTTGGATTTTTTTGAGAATGTACTGTACTATCTTAATGCTTTTCTGCCTTACAACGTTTGCCTACATTCCGACGTGACGTATACAAATATTCAACTAACCCACTAGGGCAAAATGTTCTGTACGGTCATATTACCAAATACCTCGAATCCGTCTATACAAGTAACTCCACACATTCGAGGAACAAAATTGAAAATAACATTTTCCTAAATATAGAAAAAAAATTATAATTTCTTTCAACTTTGAAAATTTGTACGCTCGACGTAATTCGGAAAGATTCATATACAGCCTTATTCTGGACATAAATTCACCGTGAATTTGTTCGCTCTTCCCTTCCATTGTGTGAGGATCTGTTTATCCAGAAAAACATATTCAGCATTATTCTGGATAATCGCTAAGGAGAGATCTCGCTTGTGAAAATGTTTTTCTTTCACATTCTCGAATCAAAGATTCGAGATGCAGAATCGAATTTTCGAAAAGGGTGGTTGTAAAATAGTGGTGTGAAAAATAAAGTAAAGAGTAAATGCTCAGAGAGTAAAAGAGAAACCGCCATATGAATTGACTTACAAAAAGAGAACGCAGAGAACGACCTTATTGATACATGTAAACAAGGGCACCAGTTCCCATGCTTGCCCAGCATTATTGTAAAAAGATTCGTGTTGCCATTGTAGTTTAATTTTGTAATATTTTTCAATATTTTATTTATTGATTTTTTTATAACAATATAAATGTAAAATATCAAGAATCCGCTGCAAAACTAATTTGTAATTAACTTCTTTTTTTGTTTTTTTTTTTTGAGTTTACCAGGACACCCAATGCTCAGTATATATCCAAGAAAGATATTGACAGCAGAGTTTAAAAGACACCAACGAACGCAGATTTAGTCTGTTGAAACAGAATATAGTATATTTCTTTTTTTTTGAAGTAGACGATCTCCTGCCTAAAAACAGCACTAATGACATGCACAGGCGTTTTTTTTTTTTTTTTTTTTTGATACTCGGAAGAACATTGCGCTTCAGTTGTAGACACTTCTGTCGCGTAATTCCTTGAATTCGTAGTAGACATGGCATTAACTTGATTTGACCAAATGGTTGTCTGAAACTAGATCATATAGAACATCGTTATTAAACATGACCTTAACCAATTCTTTCGAGGTGAGCCACATGTCTCTATATTTGGGAGGTAGTTCCTGGGCGAGGGTGTATATTACATGTGTCGGCGTAGATTTGAAAACCACAAGACATCGACTCACCAGATCACTTTGGAGAATCTCAATTTTTTTATTGGCGTAGTTTGGAGCATGCGCTGTGGAAGTTCTTCCATATTCTAACTTAGGCCTGACGACACTTTTGCTAATGTTCAGAGCATTTTTAGGATGCAGGTTGGCCGATTTTTAACATATGCAAAGGATCTAGCTGGATAAACTCCAGTATCCAATTAATCTTCAAGTAGTTTTCCCTTTATCATCAAATTGCAACATTTCCTAAGGACAGAAATTAGTACAATGGGTCTGAATATCAGCTCATGGTTCTTATTGGGATTAGGAATGCCATTGAATTGAGTTCAATGGCATTATTAGTTGCCGTAAGAATAGCCTATTTGGGTGTTGAAGACGCCCAGTATCAAAACCTCTCATTTGTCTTCTAAAATGTCAATAAACTGTTCATTTCATTGGTTAAGTCTTCCACTCTTATCGCCGGGGGAAGTAAAAAGATGAAATATGAAAATTAGGATATTGGTTAAACGTTTTAGCAATAATCGCATCGTACTCCGTATTATATACAACCTTAGCAATTTTAACGTGTCTTTTTAGAGCAATGGCCACACCTCCGCAACTATCCGGTCTACATTTTTGAATCAAATTATAATTTATCATTTTATTTGTACTATTTGCTGCGATGTCAACATTGAGTTATTGCAGAGGAATTCCATATATTGCTTATTAGCATGAAAATACTGAATATTATATTGTAAGATTTTCAGACCCATGATTGTAGGAGGAGGACTTTCCTTCCGACCAACTGCCAGTAGATACACCGCAATTATGCAACCTGTCGGAGAAGTGGTTAACAGTCATGCATAAATTTTAACAATTCACAAGTCACCTTCTCGAGCTCCGATAATCTTTGAGTCTCTCTAGGAAATATAGGGGCTGTCGAGGACGGTTGACCAAACATTCTCTGGTGCATTTTAGCCAACGGGGCATGCACGTATATCTTCTTTGGCACCTTCACAACAGAACTGTAGGTATATGGAGGCATAATAGTATTTACAACGTCCACTTTCGCAGCATTTCTAACATTTCTACCCATCGTACGCCCTTCAGTTAACTCCGGATAAGTTGAATTTTCCCCATAAAGATTTTGGACTTCCCTTTTCGACATTTTCTTATTCATAATTTTATTTGTTTCCACTTCCTTCCTCCAAACTGTATACTTCCTTCTATCAGTGGCCATATGTCCTTCCTTGTTACACAAAATGCATTTTACCACATCACATTTTCCATCACATTTACCCTCGCCCAAACCACATCTTAGACATCTGTCTTGAGATCTGCATCTCAATCTGGTATGACCTGGGGTGCCCCATTTGAAGTATTGTCTTAAAGCCGGATAGTATTTATCTACCACAAGAACTGTGAAATTGAAGATAACCCGTTCTGGGTGAACATCACCATAAAATTCAATTTTTATAGATTCAGTTGTAATTGAATTACTTAGGCATTTCGGGTCCCTTTTAATAAATCTTTTGACTGGTGCAATTTTCCTAGAAGATACATACCACCTAAGATGTCTTCCTCAGACCAGCATAAAGGAACATCCCTGATTACACCAAGGTCTCTATAAAATTCCTTGGAATAAATGCTCTTAATTTCCTCTCCTTAAGATCACTACTATTAACAAAGCCAATGGGGAAATACCTGGTAAATTGGGTAAATACCCATTTGTAGGTATTATTTGGGTATTTACTATATTGAATCGGTAATACCAAGGTGTATTTAATAAGGTGTATGCATCACCTACAACAACGAACATTTTGGAAAAACAACATTGTTATAGAAATTAAATTGTCATGCTGACAATTAGTTTATGTGGTGAAGAATCAAAAACAAATAAATAATTTTGACAAAAGTTGTACAATTAAAGAAAAAATATATCGAAAATAGAAAATAAATACCTTTAAAATGTCCATTCTGGTCGGAAGCGCCATTAGTTTTATATTGCCGCCGATTTCCTGATAACAACCACGCATATTTTTCAAGAAATTCCGTACTACCCGAAAATCGGCTTCCAAAGCTGCCCTTCCAAATATAAAATTGAGGTGATTGCCCGGATCTTGGGGACAACTTCACTTGGAACCTACCCATATAAATAAAAAAAATAAGGTGGTTGGCGGGATCTCGGCAAAAAACTTCACCATCGACAGATTCTAATGCATGATACATATGCAACGGAATTTCTTATACAATCAAAATTACTTCTATATATTGCTTTCTCAACCTTTCTATATATTGCTTTCTGAAAAATAGAAGTAGGGGGCAAACATTCGCTGCAATTAAGATTTTCGCCTACGCAATAAATCTCCTTTTTTATGCAGAAATTTTGTCGGTGGTTAGCCTTGAACTAAATATCCCTAATTCATGCTATAGCCCATGAAAAAAATATATATCCGTTTGCAACTGTTTGAAATGATCCGCGACAGGGCTTTAAATTTTGTTCTTTGGGAAGTTAAGAAATGATTCATTCGTTCCAAAAACTATTCACCTTCGCATTTCTTTATAAAGTTTTAGAATTAAAAAAAAAACTATTTAAAAATGTGAAAATTAGATTCACAAACAAGAAGAAAAAACGATGAAACCATATGATTGTCACTTACTCCTTATTTAATACACCTTGAGTAATACAACATATTACGCCCTATATCCGGGTTCTGTTATCAAATCGATTTAGAATTGATAGTTCTACCATACTTTAAAGACTTGGGAAAATATCCGAGTATTTACCCAATAATAAATTCATTAATTGGCAAACCACTTGACATATTCGGCCAAAATTTGGCTTACATGTTTTTAATGTCAAAGCGAATATTGCTATGAAAAATGGGGTCACATGTACCGTACCTCCCGATTTAAGGTTTTTTGTCTATTAGACACATTTCACGACAAAATTGGCTGTAATTTGGCACAGAGAGTTCTCTTTGCGTACAAAATATCCACATATTTATGTATATGTGACAAATACATACATACAGTTGTTAGTTACAAAACAGAAAAAAATGT